TGTTAGCCAGGATGGTCTTGATCTCCCGACCTCATGATCCGCCTGCCTCAGCCTCCCAAAGTGCTGGGATTACAGGCGTGAGCCACCGCGCCCGGCCTGCTTTCTCCTTTCATGAAGTATTCAGCTGGTGAAAAAGCTCAGCCAGGCTGGTCTCAAACTCTTGACCTCAAGTGATCTGCCTGCCTCAACCTCCCAAAGTGCTGGGATTACAGGCATGAGCCACCGTGCCCAGTCCGAATGTGGCTTTTTTTGTTTTGTTTTGAAACAAGGTTTTACTCTGTTGCCCAGGCTGGAGTGCAGTGGCGTACCTCAACTCCCACTGCAGCCTCAACCTGGGCTCAAGTGATTCTCCCAACTCAGCCTGCCCAGTAGCTGGTACTACAAGCGCATGCCACCATGCCTGGCTAATTTTTTTTTTTTTTTTTTTTTTCAAGAAGGAGTTTCGTTCTCATTGCCCAGGCTAGAGTGCAATGGCAGAGTCTCAGCTCACTGCAGCCTCTGCCTCCTGGGTTCAAGCAATTCTTCTGCCTCAACCTCCCAAGTAGCTGGGATTATAGGCACTTGCCACCGTGCCCGGCTAAATTTTTTTGTGTTTTTAGTAGAGATGAAGTGTCATCATATTGGCCAAGCTGGTCTCCAACTCCCGACCTCAGGTGATCCGCCTACCTTGGCCTTCCAAAGTGCTGGAATTACAGGCATGAACCACCATGTCCAGCCAGCCCAGTTAATTTTTGTATTTTTTTTTTTTAGAGAGAAGGTTTTGCCTTGTTGCCCAGGCTTTTTTTTGTTAGTTTTTAAATCAAACCCCCATAGGCCTCTGAACATAGGCCAGATCCTCCAGGGTGGTGCTTTCCTTGCTCACCGCTGTTCACCACTGTCTCTGGCTGAAGGCCTCCTCTCCCTTCTTTCTCCCCAGAGCTCTCAAAGTCTGTGGAACCGCCTGTCTGTGTTGCTGAATCTGTTGCCTGCTGCTGGCGAACTCCGGGAGTCTGGTGAGTAGGTCCCTGTCTCTACCCTCCTTTCTTTTCTCTCTCAGTGGCCCTACTAAGCCCATCCCGCCTCCCCATAACCCAGCCATTGGGGTAAGGAGGTTAATGGGATTCACTGCCAGCCTCCCTAGCACACAGCAGTCATTGTGTGGTCTAGGCCTCTCCGGTTTCCCACCCCAACACTGCTGCACTGTGGGCAGGTGACCCGGTCAGCAAGGGAGTGTGCGCCCTGGGGAAGGTAAGGGCAGAGTGAGAGGGCCCTGGGAGCCAGACCTAGCTGCTGCTGTTGCATTGATGTCTGTGGTCATTGAGAATTGACTTTGATCTACCAAGTTTATTTGTCTGGCTCATCTCCTCCTACCACCTTCCAACTGGAAAACTCCACCTGCTCCTATCCCCTAAGACTTGCCACGGGCTATTCATTCATCCTGAGCCCCTCCTCTCATTTCCATCCCAATGTAATTGTCCCTTCTGTCAGGAAGCCTTCCTAACCTGAGCCATCCTTGTTCTTCCTGAGCCTCTCTGCTCTGCCTGACTGGCTCTTACGTGTCCATCTCTCTTTCCTTCACTCCCTCCATCTCTCCCCATTGTCCTAGGGTATGTCCTGTCTCATCGTCTCATCAGCCTGATAATTCCCAAAGGGAAGGGCTGTGTCTCTCTGGGAGTTCCCACAGAACAGATGGTCTTACGTGTCCTTCTTCTGCCCAGGCCTGGCCTTGTGTCCTGAGGTCCAAGATCTTCTTGAAGGTTGTGAACTGCCTGACCTCCCCTCTAGCCTTCTGCTCCCGGAGGACATGGCTCTTCGTAACCTGCCCCCGCTCCGAGCTGCCCACAGACGCTTTAACTTTGACACAGATCGGCCCCTGCTCAGCACCTTAGAGGAGGTAAGGATAGCATTTCTTATGCCACAGCTGTTTGTCAGTCACACACAGCGGCAAACAGGTTCAAGTCTGGGGAGGGAGGGGGCAGGATGCCCTCTTCCACCCAGACAGGGACAGTGTCCTTGGGGCTACAGGCTATGCTTCCTTCTTCATTCAGTGAGCCATTTTAGCTTTTTTCCTGCCTTGGCAGGATGTCCTTCTAAAGGTCTGCCATTCTTAGTTTCTACTATTGTAGAACAGCCACCCCCCTCCTTTCTCTGCCTTCTGTAAAGGGCAGAACAAATAGTTATTAGGGCTTTGAAATCTTTATCAGTCTCTTTTCTAACTCTGAGCCCAGCCTGCTCTGAGCTGAACATCAAACAATCATAGAAAGTTAGAGCTGGAAGGGAATGTGCTGCCCCCTTAGTCCAGCAACTTTCACCCTTAAATCTCCATCACCACATGGGCCATTTGGGGGCAGCAGAGGGAAGCCAAGCAGACAGGCCACCCGGTCCTGGCATACACGAACCACCTGGCTGCTTCCTCTCCAACCAGAGCTGCTTGGCTCTGGTTTATATTTTAGAGTTCTACATAAGATTTTTATTTGAGAGGGAAGAAGGGTTTTACTGACCACAAAAATAAGTTGGGGCCAGGTGTAATGGCTCACCTCTGTAATCCCAGCACTTTGGGCCAAGGCAGGTGGATCCCTTGAGCTCAGGAGTTTTAAGAACAGCCTGGGCAATATGGCAGGACCTCATTTCTGTCAAAAAATACGAAAATTAGCTGGGCATGGCGGTGCGCGCCTGTAGTCCCAGCTACTCGGGGGCCGAGGCAGGAGGATGGCTTGAGCCCAGGAGGTAGAGGCTGCAGTGAGCTGTAATCACACCACTGCACTCCAGACTGGGTGACAAAGCGAGATTCTGTCCCAAAAAAATTGGAAAATGTGGTCTAGTTTGGTCTCCTGGAGCATGTGAGAAGCATTAGGAGAGAGATGGCATTAGAATCCAGGTCTCCTGACTTCCAGCCCAGTGCCCTTTGCTCTTGTTTCTTAGCCCAAGTCCTGGTTCTCTGGTTCTCCTAGGAGTTTCCTTGCTGTACCTACTCGTTTTCTGGCAGTTAGAGGCTCTGGGCCTTAGTGTTTCTCCTTTCCACCCCATACACCGCCAGTCTTCCCCTAGAGCCCTCATTGCTAAGGTGGCTGGGCCAGCAGGGAGGTGGGAGGGAGGAAGTGGGGGGTCCTGGAGGGCAGGGTGGGTCTAGAGGGCCCTGCTCAGCGGCGCTGGGCTCCTGTATCTCCCCACAGTCAGTGGTGCGCATCTGCTGCATCCGCAGCTTTGGTCATTTCATCGCCCGCCTGCAAGGCAGCATCCTGCAGTTCAACCCAGAGGTTGGCATCTTCGTCAGCATTGCCCAGTCTGAGCAGGAGAGCCTGCTGCAGCAGGCCCAGGCACAGTTCCGAATGGTGAGTCAGGCCTTCCCCTCCCCGTCAGCTATGCTCCCATTGGGCTTACTGAGAAACCAGGGCAAGAGGCTCAGACCCACTGGTGGTCTCCATCTGAAGGACATTAGTAACATGCCTAGGAAGAGGGGAGGGAAGGCTGGGAGGGAGGCCTGGGAGGGACTAAGGGATAGGACTGATAGACAGGGACTGAGAGGGGGCTTTTTTTTTTTTGAGACGGAGTCTTGCTCTGTCGCCAGGCTGGAGTGCAGTGGCGTGGTCTCAGCTCACTGCAACCTCCGGCTCCCAGGTTCAAGCGATTCTCCTACCTCAGCCTCCCGAGTAGCTGGGATTACAGGTGTGCACCACCATTCCCAGCTAATTTTTGTATTTTTAGTAGAGACGGGGTTTCACCATGTTGGCCAGGATGGTCTTGATCTCTTGACCTTGTGATCTGCTTGCCTTGGCCTCCCAAACTACTGGGATTACAGGCGTGAGCCACCACGCCTGGTCTGAGAGGGGCTTTGAGCAGAGGCTGCCTAGCTCAAGACCTGTACCCAGACTCACCTGGAGTTGAGGCCATCTCTGTCACCTCTTAGTCTATGAATTGATCAAGTCACTTAACCCCACCAAGCCAGTTTCCTTGTCAGTTATGTGGGAACAAATAGAATCCACTTTATGGAGTTTTTTGAAGATGGAATAATAGTGGATATGAGGTGCCTTGCACATTGTCTTACAGAGTATGTGTGTGCTTAGCAAATGTTCCGTCTATTCCCTTTCATTTAAGAGGGATAAAGACTGAGGAACAGAAGGGAGTGGAGGGCTCCTGGTATAAGGGGCCGTGAAGGAACTTTCCCATCCCAGACATGGTCCCATCCCACAGGGGCCCCAAAGGATGGAAAGTGGCCTGTGTTACCTCTTTTCCATCCAGTAATTCATTCCACGAATATTTATCAAGAACCCACTTTGTGCCAGACATGACAGTATTCTAGGCACTGGGGTTACAGCAGTGAACAAGACCGTCCTTTCTCTTGTGGGCAGCAGTTTTCACAGGGTTTTCACAGTGGGACCTGCACAGCTCTGGGCATGTTTCCCAATACACCACCCTGAGCTAAGTGGCACCAGTACATTTGGGGTGTTAGTGTGTGGCACAAGAAGTATGATGTGTCTCAGCAACCCCTCAGGGTTTCTTCTTCATCTCAAGCCAATCCCCTCCTCCACATTCTTCCTTTCCACCCATCCCAGGGCCAGCAGCTTCCCCACCCTGTCTGAGTGCCATTTCTTGTGGGCATTCTGCTTGGCTGGAAAGGGGCAAAAGCTCCCCAGAAACTCCCTTCCTTACTGTCTTATAAACAAGCACATTTTGTTAAAAACAAACTTTTTGTGTTAAGGCTTTTATTGCTAGTCCATAGGGGGAGACATGGGGCAGCGGGGGTGGGGGGGGTTACAAAAATAATTATGGGGAAGTTAGACGGCTTCAAAAAATGTTAGTTTTTGCAGGCATTTCCTCCAGCCTAAAGCTCCTGAAGACACTCCTCCTGTGGGGGGCAGGGAGTACCTGCAAGCCCTTCTCATGTGGTGCTAGACTCCACAGGCCAAGCTAGACACAGGCCATGTTGCTTGCTGGGGCTGCCTCCTCCTCTGCTTGAGTCACAGGCTTTTACCCCGAAGGGCTTATCCCCAGTCAGAGGAGTGTTGTCGTCACATTTATCATGAGCTTTCTCTGTGCACAGCCTGGTTTGCATGTGACATCTCATTTAACCCTTGCAGCAGCCCAGTGAGGTAGGTGTTTGCATTCTCCATTTTATAGATAAGAAACTGTAGGCTGGGTGCTGTGACTCACGCCTATAATCCCAGCACTTTGGGAGGCCAAGGTGGGCGGATCACTTGAGGTCAGGAGTTCAAGACCAGCCTGGCCAACATGGTGAAACTTCGTCTCTACTAAAAATACAAAAAATAGCTGGGCATGGTGGCGGGTGCCTGTAGTCCCAGCTACTCGGGAGGCTAAGGCAGAAGAATCACCTGAACCCGGGAGGCAGAGGTTGCAGTGAGTCATGATCGTGCCACTGCACTCCAGCCTGGGCGACAGAGCAAGACTCCATCTCAAAAAAAAAAAAAAAAAGAAAAGAAAATGTAGAAAGACAAAGGAACATTCCCAAGATCAGAAAGTAGTCAATGGTAGAGCCAGGGCTCTGGAGTTGGACACACTGTGGAGTTCTTATCCTGGCTCTTTCTGCTGCTTTAGAGACTTAGCTTCTCTGTAGGCCAGGTGGGCACTAGGAGTTGCGGGGGCTGTAGTACCTGCTGATGGGACCTCTGAAGGTAGGCTTTCCCTCCGAGGAACACGTAGGCCCACATCTGTTTGAAATGCTGGGTTGGTGATGTCAGAGTCTCAGATTAGCACAGCTCCCTCTTCTTGGGTCCAGGCCGATCCCACTCACCTGCACTAGTTCTCTGGGGGGGCTTTTACACAAGTGCCCCCATCCCCCTCTCTTGAATAAGGGGTTTCACAATTATCATTTTAGTCTAAAAGCAACTCACGGGCTTGAGTTCTGCAGTGGGAAGAGGGAAAGTTTGTGGTGCCTCCCTTGCTTACCAGTTTGCCCACAGGGCCCGTCAGAAAATGACTCTCCCAGGAGGTTGAGGCTGCAGTGAGCCAAGATCTTGCCGCAGCCCTCCAACCTGGGTGACAGTGAGACCCTGCCTCAAAAAAAAAAAAAAGAGAGCAAGAGAAAATGGCTGTCACCTAGGCTCTGGCCTTCTGCTTCCATTCGTCTACACTGTTTCTCAAGGGGACACTCTTGGCACTTTGGGCAGGACAGTTCTTTGTTGTGCAGGACTCTGCAGGGGGTTGAGAGTGGAGTTACTACAGCCCCCACAACTCCTAGTGCCCACGTGGCCTACAGAGAAGCTAAGTCTCTAAAGCAGCAGAAAGAGCCAGGATAAGAACTCCACAGTGTGTCCAACTCCAGAGCCCTGGCTCTACCATTGACTGTACTTTCCAACCTTGGGAATGTTCCTTTGTCTTTCTACATTTTCTTTTCTTTTCTTCTTTTTTTTTTTTTTTTGAGATGGAGTCTTGCTCTGTCACCCAGGCTGGAGAAACTGTAGACTTTATTCCTCTTTCCCTAGTCTTCCTACTAATGTGTGTTTTCTCTTTGTAATCCAGTCCAGGACCCACAGTATGTTTGACTGTCATGTATCCTTGGTCTCATGCAATCTCTGACAATTCTCAGTTTTTCCTTCTCTTTCCTGGTGTGACACTTTTGAAGAGTACTGGTCAGTTATTTCATAGTGTCCCTCAATTTGGGTTTGTGTGATGTTGTCTCATGATGAGAATGAGAATTTTTTTCTTTTTTTGACACAGGGTCTTGCTCTGTTGACCCAGGCTGAAATGCAGTGGCACGACCATAGCTCACTGCAGCCTTGAACTCCTAGGCTCAAGCAGCCCCCCTGCCTCAGCCACCTGAGTAGCTAGGACTACAGGCTTGATTAATTTTTCAGATAAAAAAAAATATATATTTTTTGTAGAAATGTGATCTTGCTGTATTGCTGAGGGTGGTCCCAAACTCCAGAGCTCAAGCAGTCCTCCTGCCTTGGCCTCCCATATTGCTGGGATTACAGGCGTGAGCTACAGTGCCTGACCCCAAGATTAATATTATATTTAATTTTAATTTTGTATTTTTATTTATTTATTTATTTTGAGACAGAGTTTTGCTCTTGTTGTGCAGGCTGGAGTGCAATGGCATGATCTTGGCTCACTGCAACTTCCGCCTCCCGGGTTCAAGCGATTCTCCTGCCTCAGCCTTCCGAGTAGCTGGGATTGCAGGCACATGCCACCACGACTGGCTAATTTTTATATTTTTAGTAGAGACAGGATTTCACCATGTTGGTCAGGCTGGTCTCGAACTCCTGACCTCGTGATCCACCCGCCTCAGCCTCCCAAAGTGCTGGGATTACAGGCATGAACCACTGTGCTCAGCCCCAATTTTTGTGTTTTTAGTAGAGTCAGGGTTTCACCATGTTGGCCAGGCTGGTCTCGAACTCCTGACCTCAGCCTCCCAAAATGCTGGGATTACAGGTGTGAACTACCATGCCTGGCCCCAACATTAATATTTTATTATTTTATTTTATTTTATTTATTTTGAGATGGAGTCTTGCTCTGTCGCCCAGCTTGTAGTACAGTGGCTCTGTCTCGGCTCACTGCAACCTCTGCTGTCCAGGTTCAAGCAATTTCCCTGCCTCAGCTGGGATCTCAAGTAGCTGGGATTACAGGCACGCGACACCACGCCAAGCTAATTTTTGTATTTTTAGTAGAGATAGGGTTTTGCCATGTTGGCCAGGCTGCTCTCGAACTCCTGACCTTAGGTGATCCGCCTGCCTCGGCCTCCCAAAGTGCTGGGATTACAGGTGTGAGCCACCGCACCCGGCCAAGATTAAAATTTTAAAGCACCACTTTGATGATGCCACTTTGGTCATCAAAGAGTCTTCAGTGGGCCAGGCGCTGTGGCTCACACCGGTAATCCCAGCACTTTGGGAGGCCAAGGCGGGCAGATTGCTTCAGCCCCGGGAGTTTGAGACCAGCCTGAGCAACATGGTGAAACCCACTCTCTACAAAAAATACAAAACTTAGCCAGGCATGGTGGCATGTGCCTGTAGTCCCAGCTAATTGGGGGGCTGAGGCAGGAGGATCATTTGAGCCCGGGAGGCAGAGGTAGCAGCAAACGGGAATTGTGGCACTGCACTCCAGCCTGAGTGACAGAGTGAGACCCTGTCTCAAAAAAAAAAAAAAAGAAAAGCATAATAAAAAGAGTCTTCAGTGGCTCCCCGTATCTTACAGGATAAAGTCCCCATCCTTAACCTCATCTTTTAGACCACACTAAGGAATTTGGACTTTACCCAGAATACAGAGGAAAGGGATCAGAAGACTTAGGTAGGGCTATAGTGGGCATCAGATGGTTTTTAAAAGATTGCCTTGGTTGTAGGTAGAGAAAAGGGATTGAATTAGAGGCAGAGACCAGTACGTGTTTGTTACAGTAGTCAAGGAGAGGTGTTGGCTTAGACTGGGGTTTCACAGTGGAGGTGGGAGGATTTGCACGCTGTTTAGGAGGCACAATTGACAGGACAGGGAAGCTGATAACTTCTGAGGCTGAGAGAGAGGGAAGACTCAAAGCCAACCCTGAACTTTCTGACTTGGGCAGACTGTGGTTTATTTACTAGGCTAGGGAACACTAGAGGAAGAGATGCAGGTTCTGAGGAGCAGATGGGGCTGCTGAGTAGGCAGTTGGATGTGTGGATCTGGAGCTCAGGATGGTTAGGCTTGGGCTGAATCTGCAGATTTGGAAGACGTTAGCAAGTGGATGGGGGTAGAAGGTGAGGAAGTGCTTGGGTAGGATCTCCTGGGAGGGGAGACCAGATTGAGAAGAGCAGAGATTGAATCCTGAGGCACAGCCAGGTGATGTCCTGCACGGCAACGGCACATGGCTGTCTGCTCCCCGTCCCCTGCAGGGCTTGGAACATCATGACATGCCTCGGGTTGGTAATGGAAGTGTTCAGAGTGCAGCAGAAGAATATTTGTTCTTCCATGGCTCTCCTCCCCTCATTTAGCAGCAGTGCTAGAGAGTGACTTTGCATGAGGTCACACTGAGACCCCAGGAAACCCTCTTGGTCTTCCTGATGACTGAAGGGAATGTGTACCCCAGCTCCTTATAGCTCGTTGTTTCCCTCATAGGCACAGGAGGAAGCTCGTCGGAACAGGCTCATGAGAGACATGGCTCAGCTACGACTTCAGGTAGGAAATCAGGGCCCAAGTGCTTCTTCTGCACTTGGTAGAGCTTTTGCTTCAACCTTACTGGCAGGTCTCCCCCTTCCGCTGCAGTCCCCCTGCTCTGTTGCCTCTGTGTCCCTCCACTTCTCCCAGATCACCCTCCTTACTACTCACTCTTCATTCAGCCATGTGCCTCCTTTCTGCCTTCACTTCTGTCTCTCCCTTTCTCTTTAACCCTTACTTCTGTCTACTTTCCCCCCAGAGCCATTGGTAGAAAGGGTCCTCTGATCCCCTTAACAGGAGGAGCCCTATAAGAGCCACCTTGAGCACCACTCTTCCCCCAGCCTGGCTGCCGGGGTCCCCCGCAGCTGTGCCCACCCTGCCCTCTCTCACCAGCTCGAAGTGTCTCAGCTGGAGGGCAGCCTGCAGCAGCCCAAGGCCCAGTCAGCCATGTCTCCCTACCTCGTCCCCGACACCCAGGCCCTTTGCCACCATCTCCCTGTCATCCGCCAACTGGCCACCAGTGGCCGCTTCATTGTCATCATCCCAAGGACAGGTAAGTACATTGGAGAGATAAGGGGACAGATAGAGTATGGCTAAAGGAGATTCTGGGCTTGGGATTAGGAGACCTTATTTGGGCCCAGTTTATACACAGTCACCTTGGTCAAGTCTTACCACCTTTATGAACCCGTCACTTCATCTGTGAAATGGACATAACAATCCCTGTTCTGCCTCACAAGACAGTTGGGAGAAACAGAAAATGTAAGTGAATATAATGTGAAAGCACTTGGTAAATTGCCAAGTATATTGCTGGCGGAAGGTCACATTTTCAGAGAACTTTGGGAGCCCTCTCTGGAGCCAGGGTCCCTTCTCTGCCTGAAGAGTGTACTGAGGTGAGCTCAGATACTTCCTCCAGAGCCCCTTGTCACAGCAGTCGGAGCTTATCTGTTTTGTCCTTTCCTACCCCCACCTTGCCCACCAGTGATCGATGGCCTGGATTTGCTGAAGAAGGAACACCCAGGGGCCCGGGATGGGATTCGGTACCTGGAGGCAGAGTTTAAAAAAGGAAACAGGTGAGTGCAGGCCTGGCTGGACCTGTGCTGAGCCCTGGGTCTGTCTTTCAGACGACACATGCTTATGAGCTGCTTGCTCCCTGTGGGTAAGACACATACATACCCATCTCTACTCACAGTCAGCTCACTGCGTGGGCAGTGATACCAGACATAATCAGAAGTCAAGGTTGTAGGTGCTGAAATAGAGGGTGACCAAAGGGGCCAGGAGCCCTGTGGGTAGCACTGAGCTGCTGTCCTTCCTCTGCGACAAGCCTGTGATCAGCACCCACTGGGGAGAAGGGAGCAGACCTCCTTCCCCCAGCTTTAGACTTTATAGGAATTTCTCCTGCTTTAGCGTTGGGACAGGTGATCAGGTTTCTCAGAGTGTGAGGGCCGCCTTCCAGGCTGCCCAGGGGCTTCCCACCTCCCCGCTGAGCTGAGAGAGTGGTGAGACTGAAGCCAGCCAGGGAGGGGCAGCTGGCAGCATGTAGCAGATGCTGAGCCGGTACAGGCCTGCCCTTCTGGCCTTTGGGGCCGGAGGAGGACTAGGCAGAGGGTGTAGGGAATAAGAAGAAAGCTTCCTTTTCCCTGCTAGCTGGCCCACCCCCTCCTCTGCATCTGCTCTGCCTGGCCAGGAAGCTGCACAAGGCCTGATTGTTTGGACCTTGTCTCCAGAAGCCCTGACTTGAAAAGCATCTGCTGCTTCTCCCCTCTCAGCTCCTCCCCTGAGAGGAACCAAATAATTGATGTTATCAGGAGAAAAAGTGAGCTGGGCCCAGCAGCCAGGAAGCCACTTAAGAATGGCTCCAAACAAAGCTGTGGTGGGAGAGACATGTTCCCCACCCCCACCTGCAAAACCAGGCCCCCAGAGCCACAACGGACTGCTTCATGTAAGGCGCCCTGCCAGTCCCCTGCTCCTGACCTCCACTCGCACATCTCCTCTGCAGGTACATTCGCTGCCAGAAAGAGGTGGGAAAGAGCTTTGAGCGGCATAAGCTGAAGAGGCAGGATGCAGATGCCTGGTAACAGTTTAGCCCTCCCCTCTAGAACCTCAGTCAAGCCACCTGCCTTGCTCCTCCATGAGCATTCCTAGGGAGAACGGGTAGGGCTGGAGAATTCTGAGGCTCCACACGTAGCCTGCCGGGGCCCTCCTGCAGGCCTCACCTTGCGGGGAGTACGAAGTTGCCCCAGCACCTGAGCTTTTCCTCTGTAGGCAGATGGATCAGCCTCTTCGGGCCTTGCGATGCTCAGGCTTGGTGTTTTCCCTCATCGCACCTTTGCCGGCTCCCCATAGTGTCTCCAGGGCCAGCTTCCAGGGCCCACTGCCGCTTGCTGCCCTTCCAGCCCCCAGCTGCCCCTAGCTGCCCCTGTCCCCTGGAGATCCTGGTGTTTGGGCTGTGCTAATGCTGGGTCTTGGCCCATCTTCCCCTCCACCCCCCATCCCCAGGACTCTCTATAAGATCCTGGACAGCTGCAAACAGCTGACTCTGGCCCAGGGGGCAGGTGAGGAGGATCCGAGCGGCATGGTGACCATCATCACAGGCCTTCCACTGGACAACCCCAGCGTGCTTTCAGGCCCCATGCAGGTGGGTCATGGGTGAGTTGGGGGGATGGTGTGGAATAGGGATGAGGTACCAGAGCAGACTCCATCCCCAGACCCTCCACATAGCTGCATTTTTCTCTTCCATCACTCCTTCCCCAGCGCCTCAATGATTTGCTCCTCAGTTCAGGAGGTCAGACCCTCTCCATCTTTCCTCCTCCCATTCCACAGGCAGCCCTGCAGGCCGCTGCCCACGCCAGCGTGGACATCAAGAATGTTCTGGACTTCTACAAGCAGTGGAAGGAGATTGGTTGATACTGACCCCCAGGCCCTGCAGTGGGGCTGACTCCAGATCTCTCCTGCCCTCCCTGGCAGCCAGGACCAGCGCCTGTAGTCACCCCACCACACGCAGACTCATGCACGCACACAGGACGGAGGCCTAGCTGCTCAGAGGCTGCAGGGAGGGCCCAGGAGCCGGCTGGGAGGGTGGGGTCCCTTTGTTGCCAAGACGTTAGGAAAGTGAGGAAAGTGCTTGGATTAGGAGAGTCTTGTGGGCCCCTGGCCAGCCTTCCTGCCTCAGCTCCCCTGCGTCTCCAGGGGCAGGTGGCAGGCATGGGCACCTGCATTTCACTGGAGTGGGTTCTTGGATCTCTGAGGGGAAGGAACAGCAGAAAAGGCCCTTCTTCCTCACCCAAGATGCAGAGTGGTTGGGGCCAGGAGTTTGGACCCTCCAGTTCTTGGGGGAAGAGCCGGGTAATACCTGGTGTCTGAGTGATTCTCTGCAGACCCTTCCCCTCCTCAAGGATCACCCATCCTCCTTTCAGCCCCCTTTATGGGGACCAGGCAGCTCTGGAGCTAGCCACAGGGGCTCTTAGAGAAGCAAGGCCTGGTGTGGCCTGCACCGAATAGCAGGGTCAGGGTTCGTGTGCTCCTCCTCCTGCCACAGGGGCTGCACATCCCATTGCCCCACTTCTGCTTTCTGTCTCCCTCTGTCTAGCTTCCAGGGCAGGAAGCAGGCCCCACCTAGGGCTGCAGGCAATCTGGCCTGTGCCAGCATGGGCTCCTGTGCCCACCAGCCCCACAGGTGCTGTGCTTTGTGCTCTTGGCTGCTGTGCTGGGAGAGAATGGGATGTCAGGAAGAGAAGAAAGGGGGTGCAGTCTGAGGCCACCACCCCGCTTCCTATCTAAGGGAGGGCTGAAGACAAGGGGCTGGCATTCAGTGGGCAGCAGAAAGGAGAGGCCCCTTGAAGCTGCTCAGTCAGAGCCCTCTGTCCCTGCTTTTGCCCTCCCCAGTACTAAAGACCTGAAGGGGCTGAGTGTGGGGCTGGCTTTTGGAGTGTTGAGGTGAATATGTGGGAGCAGAGATCATGAATAGCTCAGGGCAGTGAATGGCGCACCAAGAGCAGGGCTGTGTGTGGGAGGCTGAGGCCAGAATTGCCTCAGCTCCTCCCCCTCAGGCTGGGAGGATAGCACAGGCTGCGGGCTGGGGGTGGAGGGTCTTAGCTCTGCTGCCCCCACCCCAGTACTAGCCTAGTTTCCCAAGCTGTGGCTTAAAGGATAGTTGGCTTCCTGCCTCTTTCCTCTAAAACAGCAAGTCTGGGAAATCCTGGGGTGAGTGGAGTCACCCCACCCCCAGTTGCTGGCAGAGACTGAGACTAAAGCATCACTTAATAAACCCCCCCAAGCCCAATCCCTGTCTCCTGGTGCCTGTCTGTACAGAAGTTTCATGGGGAGGTGGGACATTGAAGATGGCGTCCTGAAATGCATTTTGGAAAGACTTCTTTGAAGTGGATGGGACAGAAGAAGAAGCAGGCAATTTGAGTGAAAGCCCTGGAGATGGTTTGATAGACACTGTCAAGCTCCTTGACCCTGTAAACTGAGGCGGTGCCTTTGCAGGGGTGATAGTGAAAATCTCCTGCCAGCAACATCCCTGCCTGGGGTTGGTTCACTGTCACCAGCTGGGTCCTCTTCCTCAAGGGGGTGGGGGAGGTGAGCCTTGAAACCAGCCTCTGAGTCCTCAAGTGCCTGTCCTGCAAAGATTGGCACTTCAAATTGTGTTCAGGGTGGGGATGGGGAGGTGGTGAGCCTGGTGAATCCCGCATGGTAGAACCAACATTTACCAAAGGCAGTTTGCTCTGAGCCCTACCCAGCACCAGGTGCTAAAAGGCAGCAAAGCATGGTGAGAGATGGCTTCTGAAATAGGTTCTGCGTTTGGGGATTTGGGTTCCTCTGCCAGCCTAAGGCAGAGCTGTCCTTAACTGCTGGGAGAACCTGGAACAAGAAAACTGCTCTCAGTCGCCAGGGGGACTCTACAGCACCGTGGCCACATCCTGGCTTGGGCCCCTAGCCTATTCTAGCCAGTCAGCACAGGGAGTTGGGGTTGTGCTGGAGGAGCTGGCTGTGTGCAGGCGGCCGAGTGAGCTGCCTGCTAATGGGGCTGGGCCACCCCGTGCTGCTCCCTGGAGGCTGGACAAGGCTGGGATTGTTCCCTGGCTCCCCTTTGTCTCCCCACTCCCCGCCCAGGCCTGGCCCCTCTCCTCCATCAGCCTGGCTGGCAGCAGCCTCGGACTCCGCCCGTGGAGCCCTGGGCCTGCTGACCCACCAGCTTAGGAGCACCCGCCAAGCTCTGGGTAAGGAAGCTCACCTTCTGGGGCTCTGACACCACCTCTCTGGGGAAATAGAGGTAAAGCACCTTGCTCCAGCCGTCCCTCCCCCATTCCCACAGCAACTGCACACACCCCACTCCAGAGATCTCCAAACCCTACTACTAAGGGAAGGCACCGTGAGGGGAGCTAGACCCCAGTGTATTCCTCACTCCTTCCCCAGATAGATGGGCAGCACTCAGGATAGGGGAGAACTCCCCCATCCCACTTGTGGGAGCAAGCAAAGGATACCCTGGGAGGCCCTCATCTATCTTTGTTCTGCTGGGATGCAGGGACTAGGGCCAGGTTTGCCCTGTGCCCAGCAGGGTCTCCAGCACCCATCTCAGGGGCAGAGGCTGGGGGGTGACTGCTGGTGCAAGCCCCAGAGTGCATGCAGCAAAAACACGGATGCATTGCTGGTGGCAGGAAGAGGAGGGACTAGGCTCTAGAGTTGCTGCAAAGTTTTGGCCTGGGTTGGTGGGGGGAGTGTCCTAGTCCTCCTCCTGGGGCAGCTCCGCCTGCCCAGCTGGCCCAGCCCCTCCACTTGTGCCAAGGAATGTGCCGGGAGAGGCCAGCAGGGCAGCAGAGCCACAGCCACCTGGAGGCAGTGCACAGGTCTGGGGCTGAGGGATATGGGGCTCAGGAGAGGCAGGGACCCCAAAACACTCCTGGGGGGCACAAGTGTAGTCCTAGAGAAAAGCCAGGCATCCCCCAACTCCTTGTCCCACCTGATGGCATCTGGCTTCGCCAGAGACTCTGAGTGCCAAGAGTGTTCTGTGCTCAGCTCGGGCACTGTGGGCGAAGCACGTTCTGGTGGGGCAGGGAGTGGTACCCGGGCTGTCTCTGTGCTGGCCTCCAGGAGTCAGGGTTCTTCCCGAGACACAAACTGGGAGCCTGGGTGTTTGGATCTCTATTTGGGGCAGCCTCCTGGCTGGGAGGACCCCACCACTCCATGCTGGGCTGAGGCCGCCAAGCCCCTCAGTGTGGGGACTGAATGCCCCAAGGAGAACAGGGGTTAGAGTTAAGTGGTGCAAGGGCTGGGGAAGGTGGACCAGCCTCCCTGGGCCTGAAGGAAGCAGCTTCAGGAGGGAGGGTGCTGTCTGCCTCCCACACGTGCTGCCCATCCTGGGGCTGAACCCAGGTGAAAGGGGCCTGTGGATGGGGGCAGATATCTGATCCCCTATCCCCTGCTCTGTCTCTAGGTCAACGTGGAGGTGCCAGGCCACCATGCTCAGTCTCAAGCTGCCCCAACTTCTTCAAGTCCACCAGGTCCCCCGGGTGAGGGGCTCCACTCACTGACCCACCAACCCCCATTCCCTAGAGGACTGACTAGGGGCTGACATTCTCTTTTAGCTATTGGGGCAGCCCCTCCTGCAGGCGAACTCTTACTCTCCCTTTCCGGTGTGAGGCTCTTCCTCTCTTCTCTGAGGAACAAGCTTGTGGCCCTCCATCTGGAGTCCCCTTCCCCAGAGCACCCTGTGTGCTGCGCCCCAGCCCCACCCCACCCCACTCTGGCTCTTCGGTTTCCCATCTGTTTTGCGGGTTGTGGGTGCTGGGACCTGTGGTAAGATCAGATCAGATTTAGTTTGGCTTGGGGGCCACGTTGGTCTCCAGCCCAGCCTCTTTGACCCTGCTTCCAGAGATCTCAAATGGAGGGAAAGGGTCGGGGCACAGTGACGCCCCTCCTCTCCCACCACTACCCTAGGTGTTCTGGGAAGATGGCATCATGTCTGGCTACCGCCGCCCCACCAGCTCGGCTTTGGACTGTGTTCTCAGCTCCTTCCAGATGACCAACGAGACGGTCAACATCTGGACTCACTTCGTGCCCACCTGGTGAGGGGAGGCTCTGCCCCAGGCCGCGGCCTTGAGCTCAGAGGGGGTACCCAGGCGGGCAGGGACCGTCCAGGCCCACGGGCTGCAGCAGCAGTCGCGGGGGTCCACGGGGGCCTGAGCACGCGCCCGCCGCAGGTACTTCCTGTGGCGGCTCCTGGCGCTGGCGGGCGGCCCCGGCTTCCGCGCGGAGCCGTACCACTGGCCGCTGCTGGTCTTCCTGCTGCCCGCCTGCCTCTACCCCTTCGCGTCGTGCTGCGCGCACACCTTCAGCTCCATGTCGCCCCGCGCGCGCCACATCTGCTACTTCCTGGACTACGGCGCGCTCAGCCTCTACAGCCTGGGTGAGCCGGACAGGCGCGGGAGCGCGGGAGCGCGGGGTTTGGGCGTCCCGGAGCAGGTCGAGGGGTGGTACACGGGACATAGGGGCGTGCCCCTCAGGCCTCAGCTGCACGCCCCCACCTCACCGCAGGCTGCGCCTTCCCCTATGCCGCCTACTCCATGCCGGCCTCCTGGCTGCACGGCCGCCTGCACCAGTTCTTTGTGCCTGCCGCCGCACTCAACTCCTTCTTGTGCACCGGCCTCTCCTGCTACTCCCGGTGGGTTCCCAGGCCCCTCCGGTGGGGACGGGGAAGGCGGAGGCACAGGAGAGGACACACCTCACTGCTCTCAAACAGCATTAGTGACATCGGGACCATGTACTGAGGACTTCCTCTGTCAGACCCTGTATGCTCATACCCATGCTGTCTCCTTTAATTCTCACAAGCCACCATAAAAGGCAGATGTCTTTATCCCCACATACAGATGTGATCGTTTACACAGGTCATACGCCCTAAGGGTTTTCTTAGCTGCAGGCTGTGCTGATATTCCATCTTTGCCCAAGTCCTCTTGCCTTTCCTGACCCCTACCCTGAGCACAGCGATGGTGACCAGCCTTTTCCTCCCGCCTCCCAGTTTCCTGGAGCTGGAAAGCCCTGGGCTCAGTAAGGTTCTCCGCACAGCAGCCTTCACCTATCCCTTCCTGTTCGACAACCTCCCACTCTTTTATCGGGTAAGGAGGCCTGGGGCCCCTGCCCAGACACCTGCTTTCCTGTCCAGACCCTCAAAGTGCCCACTTCCAGCCTTGCCCCCTCAGTCCCTGCCTCAGCCCAGCCGCCTCTCTTCTGGTCCAGCACCCTGCCTAGCTGTGCCCGCCCGCTCTGCCTCCTCACCAGATCCCAGACACTCCCTATGTTTTGGCTCCCAAGTCCCTCTCCAGCAGTCTCTTTTCCTTTGCCAGCTCGGGCTGTGCTGGGGCAGGGGCCACAGCTGTGGGCAGGAGGCCCTGAGCACCAGCCATGGCTACCACCTCTTCTGTGCGCTGCTCACTGGCTTCCTCTTCGCCTCCCACCTGCCTGAAAGGCTGGCACCAGGACGCTTTGACTACATCGGTGAGGGCACGCCTGGCCCGGCCCGGGAAGAGGCAGGGGCAGATGGCTTCCCAGAGCACAGAATGAACTGGGTAAATGGGTATTACAGCCCCAGGATGGAGGCAAATTATAGGAGGGACTTCCCTGTCTTCCTCTAACGAGAGCATCACTGGAAGGGTCCTCCACCTGCCACTTCTAGGTAGCAAAACTAGTAGCATGTGTGCTGGGGCCACATGCACAAATGCTCATTCACTCCTTTCAGTCACTCTGGGAGTCAGGGTTTCTTAATTCTCAATAGGGGAGTAGCAGGCCTAGAGGATGGGGTGACTTGCACTGGGAAAGGTGTGGCTCTGACCTGCCCATCCTCTCCACAGGCCACAGCCACCAGCTATTCCACATCTGTGCAGTGCTGGGCACCCACTTCCAGCTGGAGGCAGTGCTGGCTGATATGGGATCACGCAGAGCCTGGCTGGCCACACAGGAACCTGCCCTGGGCCTGGCAGGCACAGTGGCCACACTGGTCTTGGCTGTAGCCGGGAACCTACTCATCATTGCTGCTTTCACGGCCTCCCTGCTTCGGGCCCCCGGTACATGCCCTCTGCTGCAGGGTGGCCCACTGGAGGGGGGTACTCAGGCCAAACAACAGTGAAGCCCCATCCCTGACCCTGCCCTGGAAGGGGCAGAGGCCAGGCCCCCGTGCTGAGGAGGAGCCCAGAGTTGTGCCTAATCAGGTGGGGACACATCTCAGCTTGGAACCAACAGGCGCTGAGGAGAGAGGGCATAGGGGAGAGGGCAGAGGAGAGGAGGGGTGTCTAGGGGGAATGGCAGAGTGTGAGAGGGACTGTGAGGGGGCTCTTGATGGGAGTAGAGGAAGTGCTGAGGGTCTTGAGAGGGGAGATGCATGCGTGTCCAGGCTGAAGATGCCCCCACATTCTGTCAAAGGTTGGGGCCGGGAGGTGTTGGGGTCCTTTCATCTGGCTCCATTTCTGGTGCTCCTGAAGTCTCTGCTCAGCACAGGGAAGAACTAACACGACTAACCTAGGCCTACCCCAAATGCTTCTTGCTAACCAGGCCGAGAAGCCACACACTTGCCCCCCATCCCCACAAACCAGGTAATGCCAGTTTGCCAGCAGCTATTTGCCTATAGAGATGAGTCTGTCCTGGTCATAACTGTGTACTCAAGGTGTCCAGGCTTTTGGGGGTGGGCCTATCTGGGTGCATTATGGATGGTTCAGTGGACTGAGGTGTGGGGAGGAGGGTCCTAGGCTAGAGGGGGGATCCCTAGTTAAGACTTTAGGAAGCCACCTTCAATGTTTTCTGGAACAAGGCAGGTACAAATAAAAAAATAAAACTTTGGAAAGCACTTTCTAGAACTGAAGAAGGTAAAACCTCCTCACCCCCATCCTCCTGACACCTCCCTCCCACACTCCATAAACTGGACAGATTCACAGGCCCACGGATTCCTCTTTTGAAGTTTATTTGGGAGCAGCTGGATGATGGGGACCCCACATCCATAGGGCTGGGAGGTCAGGGCAAGGGCAAGGGGAAGGGGAAAGAAGGGGGCCTGGAGAGGAGCAGAACTGGGTTTGCCGGCCAGGCCAGCGGAGCGACACCCTAGACCGGGCCGTAGAAGCGCCGATAGGCCTCCTGGAAGCCGATGTGGTCAGCCAGCTCGTCACAGTCCGGATTGAGCTCACACACCTCCCTCTTGGGCTCCAGGGGATCTGGGTAGGGGGCTGGGGCTCTGAGACACCCGACGTGGTGGCATCAGCCCCCGTGCAAAATGCCCATCCCTCCTCTCACTACACATGGGGCTCCAGGGTCCCCACCAGGGCTGGCTGCCTGTTCCCCCACCACAGCCCAGAGAGGCCACTCCCTGCTGCAGCTCCCCCACAGACCATCCCGGAGACGCAGGGCCTTGGCCCAGCTCTGCCTTTTCTCTCACCCCAGCCATTGATACAGGTAGCGCCTGGGTCTCTTCACCACCTCGCTGCCCTCCTGCTTGGACACAAAGGCTGTGGAGCAGAGGGGCAGGAATCAGGTGGCTCTGGGTTTGGGAGGATCAGGTTGGCAGCAGGCTGGCCTTCCTGACAGCCAGACAGGAGGTGGCAGGAGTAGGGGAATGAGACTGAGGGACAAGGTGAGAAGGGAGGGTCCAGGAGCCCATCAGGTCCATCCTCTTACCTGCACCTTTGCTGGACTCTGCACCGCTGGGTTTCGCACCTGCAAAGGAAAGGGAGCCTGGTTCACCCCTGCTCATCCCCAGGGCTCTCATCCTCCTTCCCCTGTGTCTCGGGCAGCTTGCTCTTCCTTCCTCTCCCTCTGCAAGGGCAGAGCTGGGGCAAATGGATTGAGCCTGCAACAGGGTGACTAGACTGCAAAGGGACTGCCAGCCAAAGGGGTGAGAAGAGGTGGGCCATGGTGCTTCCTTTTCTCAGCCCCCACTGCTGTGCGGCCTGAGGGGAGGTGGGGGCACTCACCTGCCTGGCCAGTGATGCAAAGTGTGGCCAGGGCCAGCAGGGCGAGGAGTGTGAAGGCTCTCATGGCGTCTCAGTGGCTGTGTTGGGCTCCTGCTCAGGACTCAGCTGGCCTGCCCCGCCAGCCTCCAGCACTGTTTATACCCTCTGGGCTGTGTCCCGGTGATGAGGAGGGGCGTGCCTGACCATGGTGCAGGCGGGTCTAGGGGGAATCTGCCAGGGCTATTTGAGGGTCATCCGCCCCAGCTCCGTAGGCCAAACCCCAAAGGATACTGTGGTTGGGAGCTGCGGCTGCCAGGCCAGGGGCCCCTGGGAGTGATGGAGGGTGAGCCACAATCAGACTGCCCGGCTCTTGACACTGCCTCTGGCCCCTTCCTCAGGGGGCAGCCCAAGACCCCTCAGCCCCGACTCACTCTTCTTCAGAGACCCCCAGCCTCAGGTTGAGCACTGGCTGAGCTCTAAGGAGATTCTAAAGAGGAAGCAGGGGTCAGAGACCTAAAATAGGTTCAAGCAGAGCTGGGCTCCAGCTGTCTCACAGCCTGTGATTTCTACTGTCAGCCCCGTAGGCAGGAGCCAAACCCAGGGAGGGGATGCCTCGCAATGCCCTCGTTCACCCGGTGAGACACCAAAGGCAGTCTGCTGTGGGCGCAGCTTGATGGCTCAGGCCCTGCACATCAGGACAGGAGAAAGGGTCGGGCGGCACAAGGCCAAGAGCCAAAGCCAATGGAGGTGGGGCTGGGCAGATGAGGTCAACTGGTTGGCCTCTGGGACACGCTAGGTGGCTGTGACTGCCAGGTACACAGGCACAAGGCAGGGAGGCAGGCACTCACTGAGGTGGGGAACCCCTTCCCTGTGCCCTTAGCAGGCAGGGAGGCAGGGCCTGAGGAGCATGGAGATGGAGTGTGCCTCCGCCCTCCCAGTCCCCCCGATTCTCCTGACCCTGCAGCCTCCACGGTGTTAACCACCCTGGGGAGGGACCTGCCCTCCCGTAGTGCTCCTGTAAGCAATAGGAAGGCCTGTCCTCTACGGTACAGAACAACCCAGCCTGAAAACCCATCCCACACCTGAGAGCCTCCACTGCCTCAGGTCAGCCCAGAGAGGGAAGAGGTGTCCTGGGACCTTCCCCTGTCTAACCTGTGTCACTCACCCACCCACCAACCAACCAGGGCTTGAGACCATCTGCCCAACCTGACAAGTAAACAAAGCACCCAACGGGGCAGGCCTGACAGGAGCAGGGCATTTGAATGCTTGAATGCCACAGCTCCATGGTAACAAAGTGGGCAGAGGGAGACTGAGCTGAGTGCCGTTTATGGGAGGGGGGAAGTGGGGGCCACCTGATGCTTGCCTGTGTCCCCAGTGTGCCTCTGGCAGACCTCACCAAAGCCCTCACTAGGGAAAAGTTCTGCCCCCATCCACACCCAACCCCTTTCCCCCTCTGGCAGATCCAGGAAGCACCCATCCTGCCTTTGGCTGCCCTGGCAGAAGAATGAAGTGGAAGAAGAGAAACAAAGTGCCCGTGATTCTTTTTTTTTTGAGACGGAGTCTCGCTCTGTCACCCAGGCAGGAGTACAATGGCGCCATCTCGGCTCACTGCAACCTCTGCCTCCCAGGTTCAAGCAATTCTCCTGCCTCAGCCTCTCCAGTAGCTGGGATTAGAGGCACGTTCTAATGCCCAGCTAATTTTTTTTTGAGATGGAGTTTCACTCTTGTTGCCCAGGCTGGAGTGCAGTGGTGCAATCTTGGCTCACTGCAACCTCCACCTCCCGGATTCAAGTGACTCTCCTGCCTCAGCCCCCCGAGTAGCTAGGATTACAGGCACACGCTACCATGTCTGGCTAATTTTATATTTTTAGTAGATATGGGGTTTCACCATTTAGCCAGGCTGGTCTCGAACTCCTGACCTCAGGTGATCTGCCCACCTCAGCCTCCCAAAGTGCTAGGATTACAGGCATAAGCCACTGCACCTGGCCTAATTTTGTATTTTTAGTAGAGACAGGGTTTCACCATGTTGGCCAGGCTGGTCTCGAACTCCTGACCTCAGGTGTTTCACTTTGGGCCTCCCAAAGTGCTGGGATTACAGGCATGAGCCACCGTGCCCGGCCGTAATGATTCTTGGAGGGTGCCAAGAGTGACACCTCCTTGGCAGCTCATCCTATCCACAGGGAACCCAGGGGTCCTGGTTTTTGTACAAGGGGCTCTGCTGCTCTCCGCACATGGTCTGGTAAGCCCCTTGCCAACCCACCCCCGCCTGGAGGCTCCCAGAGGACCACGACTGAAGACTTGGCCCAAGAGAGGCCAGGCAGAGGAAGCATCCTCACAGATTACAGTGTAGTGGAGGAAGTTTATTTACGGATGTGGGGAGAACATGGTAAAGGCCCCTGGGCTGGGCAGCAAGGGGGCAATCAGTGGAGATTGAAAACAGATTCTCCAAGCCAGGCCCAGGGAAAAGGGCTCAGGAACCAGCAGGAGTGGGGCGGAGGGGCAAAGCTGACCTGAACGTAAAGAAGAGAGAACATGGCCAAGAATTATCCAGGTAGAAAAAACAGAGGAATCTAAAGAGGGTGTATGTCCAACCCCAAGGGTACCCCAAAGGCACAGTGGCAATGAGGCTTTCTCTGGCCTAGTCCTCCAGCAAATTCCATCACTGCTGAGGGACTGGGCACCATTTCAGCCGTTCTCAGAGGCAGGCCGCCCAGGCCAGGCATGCTGGCCACAGGCTCTTGACCTTGACTGCCCTCTGCTTCTGGGCCTGGCGGTCTCCTCACTCAGGCTCCCTCAGCACAGCAACCAGCTCTCTCTGTTCTCTGTGTAGAGCCTGAAATCAATGGGAGACAACAGACAAACTGGGATCTGAGAAAACCCAAATCCTTGCCCTCCACTGTCCCTGACTCCAGGCCTGGAGTTTCCCCCAGGACAATATGGATGGAGTCTGTGGCTTAAGTCATGGCCCTGCAGAGCACGTTAGGATGAAGACACATTAGAAAGTCTGCACCATTCGGCAAGTATTTATAGCAAGCTGGGTTCTGTGACCACCTAGGCTGGGCATCCCCGGAGCAGAGCCCATCTTCAGCAAGGGTCCCCAAAGTGGTCCTTCAATCCTCTGACCTCAACAGAGCTTTCTGGCGAGAAACTTTCTTGAATTAAGTAAACTTTCAGTTGAGTTACAGACATGGAAATTGCCCACGTCAAACAACATGAAGGTCTGTAGCTGGAATAGGTGGGGCATGGCTTTAAGAGCAGAGGGCTTTGTCCCTCTTAGGATAGCACTGTATCCCAGAGCTGGTGAGGCCCTGGGATCATTATCCAGCCAATTTGGAAGCCAGGACCCAGAGAGAGGAGTGACCCATGGCCTCATGGTGACTGAGTGGTGATGGTGGAGCAGCGCCTTGCCTGAGGACTCAGCAGGGGGCTCTGGGAGTGCCCGAGACACAACTTGGAGTTGTGCCCTGCAAGATGGCACCAGGCTTAGGGTGGGGGCCTTGGTCACTACCACTTTTGTGCCTGCTACCCGGTCCCGCAGGCCAGTCTGTGACGTGGGGAGAGCAGAGGGAGTGGGGACAGTAGGGAGCAGAGCAGCTGCCAGCCTTCCACTTGCCACCGCCTCCTGGCCAGGGCCCTTCCTAAGCTGTGGCAGGGCCTTCAGGCTGCAGCTAACTGGTATTGGGAAAAGAAGACCAGGGAGATCCGGGAGCCATAAATTTGGGGACCTGTAACCCTCAGGAATATGAGGGTTTGCCCCAGGAAGGGGCTGTCAAGTGGCTCTAAGTAGATGTCAATTGGATGCTGACATGATGGATGGAGGGAGTTTGACAGAGATGCCGCCACTTGAGCCCTACCAGAAAGCTTCTCTTGGAAATGCACTTTGAGCCCATAGGAAAATCTGTCTCATCGAGGTGCAGCCGAGCTGCTACCTGTGCCATCCAGCTTGATCCTCTTCTTCTCCTTTCTTTACCCAACGTGGCCCCAAGTAATGTCAGGCCACTTTCAAAAGTTAAGTTCACCCTCAAAGGACACACAATTGTGGCATGGAGGATATGTGTTAGATGTGTGAAGGCTCTACAAATCATTCTAATATACATATTATTCAAATATCGGGCAATGGCAGATAGTCAAAATAATCCTGAGCACAAAGAACAAAGCTGGAGGCATCACACTACCTGATTTCAAATTGTACAAGGCTATAGTAACCAAAACAGCACTGGTACTGTTATAAGAACAGACACATAAATAAATAAATAAATAAATAGGAACAAACACATAACCAACAGCATAACAGAATACAGACTCAGGGCCGGGCGCGGTGGCTCAAGCCTGTAATCCCTGCACTTTGGGAGGCCGAGACGGGCGGATCACGAGGTCAGGAGATCGAGACCATCCTGGCTAACGTGGTGAAACCCCGTCTCTACTAAAAAATA